AATGTTTGCCGGGTCAGCTAGTATTTTATACATGTAACCTCTATACGATTAATCCTTAAAGAGGTTAATATGTTATTTATAACATTCTTCTTTATATGACATTAATAGAATTTCGATTATTGAAACATTAGAACATTAGACATATAAAGAGCATTTTTTGCAATATTAAAATATAAAAAGATATAAAAATAATGGTGAAGCAATAGCTTTAAATGTTGTTTCTCTTTATAAGAGCAACTCAATTGCTATAGTTTTACAAAGGTAAACTGTATTTTGATTTAAATAAATAAATACATTATATACATATATAAATGTTAAATAATATTTCATGAAAAATTTTACTTACAATATTGGACCAATCACAGATTTTCAGAGATTTGGAGGCTTACGAAATTAATCAAAGGACATTGAGTGGTAGCGCTCAACACTCACTGTGACGTATATAAAATATAACTCTAGATAGGGTTGTATAGTTTGTAGTAATAATGTGGAACCATCCATCACGCGGGCCGCCCCTGGGCGCATCAATCTTGTGCACTGCCTGCGCTTTATGATTCCTTGGTACTTCGAAGACAATCATTTATTAAGAATAATAGTTTAAGAAACTAAAAAACACGCTTTTATAGAAAAAACCCTAAAAAGTAGAATCTAAATTTATTTAAGCGTGGGGTGCTTTTTTAAAATATTATCAAAATGACTATCCTTCTACTATATCTGATTTCCTATAAAAATGTTTTTATTTTTTTCTAAACTATTATTTATTTTAAATTTTTTAATTCGGTTTTCTATAAAAGTGTGGTTTTTTAGTTTTATTTTAAACTATGATTTATATTTCATTTTTTAGTTGGATTTTCAAACTACGATTTATATGTATTTAATTTTTTAGTTGGATTGTCTTTTAGTTTTTTAAACTTGTATTCGTTAAATATAATGTTACAATTAAACATCAACATGTCAATAATAAGCTATTAAAATGTATGTCGGTTGAATTAAGTTTTATTAATATTGTAGAAGAGCTGTTAAAATTGGGAGCTAGTCCCAACAAAAAATCGCTAATTCTGATTATCCTAGTAAGGATAACGGTTCAAACTGCTTAAAATATTTAATTAAAATATTGAATTATCATTGGTCTTTGATAATTATGCCAAATTTCGAGTTAAGCCGACGTTTTGAAGGGGGTCAAAATCATGTTTAAAGTTTCCGTTCAAAAACGTGTTAGAAAAGCCATTTTTTTATTCGGCTTTTCGGAGTCGTATATATAATTAAAAATACGTTTACCGCTTACGTTGTCGTCCGTGCCCACGAAAACTGTAAAGAAATCGAATTGTCGGAAACAATATCATGACAATAAAAAATGCGACATATGTAAATCCGTAAAAAGAGCTTTAATTTTAGGTTATTGGATTTTAATTTAAACGCAAGTTTGATATCCAATTGCAGAGTAAAAACCCATTTGTGCATTTATTTATTCTGCTTGTATTCTTCCATGTTCACATAGATACTATACGACACTTATTGCCACACCATTATCAAGCTCTTTGATTTAGTGGACGTTAAATAAACTGTTAATTGTACTAGAGATAGACCACACGAATTGCAAGAAAACTGAAGGGCTTAAGTTGGCCATTACCGAAACAGCGACCGTACTTATTGAGTCGAAGTATACAGGGGCTGAGCCGCTGACGATGACATCGAAAATGAGGACGAAAAAACAAGATAATTCCTCTTCCTGCTCGTATAACATAGACTGGAATAAGCTATAAAAGCTATTTTCCCATAGTGGTGCGCACATGAGAGCTGACGTCATGGTCTCGCAAATCAACGTGATCAGGTTTCTGACTTTTTGCGTGACCATCAAATTGATATCTTTTTAGTGCAGGAGACCCTACTTAAGCCCGCGCGCCGTGACCCTAAAATCGCGAACTATAACATGGTCAGGAACGACAGGCTCTTTGCCCGTGGTGGTGGTACCGTCATTTACTATAGAAGAGCGTTGCGTCCCGCTCGATCCTCCCGCGCTTGCCAATATCGAAGCATCAGTGTGCCGAATCTCACTGACGGGACACGCGCCGATCGTTATCGCGTCCGTTTATCTTCCACCGGATAAGATCGTTCTAAGCAGTGATATCGAGGCGCTGCTCGGCATGGGGAGCTCTGTCATTCTGGCGGGCGACCTAAATTGTAAACACATCAGGTGGAACTCACACACCACAACCCCGAATGGCAGGCGGCTTGACGCGTTAGTCGATGATCTCGCCTTCGATATCGTCGCTCCGCTAACCCCGACTCACTACCCGCTAAATATCGCGCATCGCCCGGATATACTCGACATAGCGTTATTAAAAAACGTAACTCTGCGCTTACACTCGATCGAAGTAGTTTCAGAGTTAGATTCAGACCACCGTCCCGTCGTTATGAAGCTCGGTCGCGCTCCCGATTCCGTTCCCGTCACGAGGACTGTGGTGGATTGGCACACGCTGGGCATCAGCCTGGCTGAATCTGATCCACCATCGCTCCCGTTTAACCCGGACTCTATCCCGTCTCCTCAGGATACCGCTGAAGCCATAGACATCTTAACGTCACACATCACCTCGACATTAGATAGGTCATCGAAACAAGTTGTAGCGGAGGACTTCCTTCACCGCTTCAAATTGTCCGACGATATTAGGGAACTCCTTAGAGCTAAGAACGCCTCGATACGCGCCTACGACAGGTATCCTACCGCGGAAAATCGTATTCGAATGCGTGCCCTACAACGCGACGTAAAGTCTCGCATCGCTGAAGTCCGAGATGCCAGATCTGATTTCTTAGAAGGACTCGCGCCCTCCCAAAGGTCTTACTACCGCTTCGTCGTACTCTCAAATCGGATACGGTAGTAACTATGCCCCCCCTCGTAGGCCCCTCAGGGCGACTCGCGGCGTTCGATGATGACGAAAAAGCAGAGCTGCTGGCCGATACATTGCAAGCCCAGTGCACGCCCAGCACTCAATCCGTGGACACTGTTCATGTAGAATTAGTAGACAGTGAGGTAGAACGCAGAGCCTCCTTGCCACCCTCGGATGCGTTACCACCCGTCACCCCGATGGAAGTTAAAGACTTGATCAAAGACCTACGTCCTCGCAAGGCTCCCGGTTCCGACAGTATATTCAACCGCGTTATTAAACTTCTACCCGTCCAACTCATCGTGGTGTTGGCATCTATTTTCAATGCCGCTATGACGAACTGTATCTTTCCCGCGGTGTGGAAAGAAGCGGACGTTATCGGCATACATAAACCCGGTAAACCAAAAAAATCATCCGACGAGCTACCGCCCGATTAGCCTCCTCATGTCTCTAGGCAAACTGTATGAGCGTCTGCTCTACAAACGCCTCAGAGACTTCGTCTTATCCAAGGGCATTCTCATCGATGAACAATTCGGATTCCGGACAAATCACTCATGCGTCCAACAGGTGCACCGCCTGACGGAGCACATTCTTGTGGGGCTTAATCGACCAAAACCGTTATACACGGGAGCTCTCTTCTTCGACGTCGCAAAAGCGTTCGATAAAGTCTGGCACAACGGTTTGATTTTCAAACTATTCAACATGGGCGTGCCGGATAGTCTCGTGCTCATCATACGGGACTTCTTAACGAACCGCTCTTTTCGATATCGAGTCGAGGGAACCCGCTCCTCCCCGCGACCTCTCACAGCTGGAGTCCCGCAAAGCTCTGTCCTCTCACCCCTCCTATTTAGCTTATTCGTCAACGATATTCCCCGGTCGCCACCGACCCAGTTAGCCTTATTCGCCGACGACACGACTGTTTACTATTCCAGTAGAAACAAGTCCCTAATCGCGAAGAAGCTTCAGAGCGCAGCCCTAGCAATAGGACAGTGGTTCCGAAAATGGCGCATAGACATCAACCCATCGAAAAGTACTGCGGTGCTATTTCAGAGGGGAAGCTCCACACGGATTTCCTCCCGGATTAGGAGGAGGAATCGCACACCCCCGATTACTATCTTTAGACAACCCATACCCTGGGCCAGGAAGGTCAAGTATAACATATAAAACCGCCCACATATAAAATCAGTCCGTGACCGTGCCGCGTTTATTCTCGGTAGACTCTACCCTATGATCTGTAAGCGGAGTAAAATGTCTCGTCGGAACAAGGTGACACTTTACAAAACTTGCATAAGGCCCGTCATGACTTACGCGAGTGTGGTGTTCGCTCACGCGGCCCGCACACACATAGACACCCTCCAATATCTACAATCCCGCTTTTGCAGGTTAGCCATCGGAGCTCCGTGGTCCGTGAGGAACGTTGACCTACACGACGACCTGGGCCTCGAATCTATCCAGAAATACATGAAGTCAGCGTCGGAACGGTACTTCGATAAGGCTATGCGTCATGATAATCGCCTTATCGTTGCCGCCGCTGACTACTTCCCGAATCCTGATCACGCAGGAGCCAGTCACCGTCGACGCTCTAGACACGTCCTTACGGATCCATCAGACCCAATAACTTTTGCATTAGACGCCTTCAGCTCTAACACTAGGAGCAGGCTTAGGGACCTCGGTAACCGTACTCGTCGAACTCGACAAAGAGTTCGCCGTGCAACCTAACCCATGAATCAGCTCGCTGAGTTTCTCGCCGGATCTTCTCAGCGGGTCGCGATTCCGATCCGGTAGTAGATTTATTCGCGAAGCAGCTACTCTTGAGCTGTTAGGTCTCCTTCGGAGGCGCTCGGGTAGCTGTTAGCAAATCCCACCCCTCCTGGCTGAGCCTTTTGGTGAAACTGGAAAGGCCTCCGGGCCACCAGTAATACTTCAATTATAAAAAAAAAGGTCGTCCACATGACTAAGAAATAATTTTTTTTTTTTTTTTTCTACTGATCTCTAAAAAGTTTCAAACCCGTTCTCACCAATGAGTAAATCTATTAAAACAATGAATATAGTAAATGACGTGGTTTCCCAAGGCCTATAATTACTATAAAAGAAGAACAGAAAAAACTATATCACAGTCAGATATAAAATACCTAGTAATCAAACCGCGTTTTAATCAAAATTGTTTAACAATACATCATCGAAATGTTAAAAGTATTTATTGTAACTTTTTTTGCTTTTCAACTCAGCGCTAGTTCAAACAGACAAAGGGTAAGACTAAATTTCATTCATTGAGGTTTAATTTTTTAATTTTTGATTTTTCGCACACAAAGATATCTATTTCAAATTTTAATTAAAAAATACAAGTGATACGCGACTTAATGCCGATGCATAGTTATTTGAATCAATGGAGCAGTTCTTATGTTTAAAATTATATATTTTAATATATTCGATAATTAAACAATTATTAACTGTTAGCTAGTAGTCGTAAACTCATTCCGATATAAGCATCCGTCGCGTTTTTTTTCCTACCTAAGCTAAGAGCTTTGAGAGGCTATTTCAGCGTGACCTTAACTAGTAGGTGAGCTCACGGGGCTCAAACCTGACGACGTTCCTAGCAAGAGCCGTGCTTCGCAGAATCTACCACCGGATCGGAAACGCGACCCAATGAGAAGATCCGGCGAGAATCTCAGTGGGCTGTGTCTGATGGTTAATTTACTTAGCTCTTCGTCGCAAGCGACGGGTTCCACGAGGACGGTGACGGAGCACGCATGACCGGTGCTTGAGGTACCTAAAAGCACCGTTAGTGGATCGGGAGGATCCGAAATGATGTGTTTTGAGCGACGTCAACTGCTTTCCATTCTGTCCGCAGGATCGGGAATGTAGTTACCGGCGGCCACGATGAGAGGGTTCTCGTGTCGTGTCGTTTTGTCGAAGTGACGCATCAATGCCGACTGTAGATACTTACTGATGGACTCTAAGTCCAGGTCGTCATGGAAATCGACGTTCCTGACGAACCACGGGGCTCCGACGGCTAACCTGCAAAAACGGAATTGAATAATTTGGAGTGATTTTAAGTTAGTGCGGGCTGCGTGAGCGAACACTACACTTGCGTAGGTAATGACAAGGCACATGCAAGTTTTGTAGAGTGTCACCTTATTTCTAAGGGACAATTTACTGCGCCTGAAAATCATCGGGTAGAGGCGTCTTAGTATGAAGGCGGCACGGTTGCGTACTGTCTTTAAGTGGGGGCGGAATGTCATCCTTCTGTCGAGGGTGAGGCCTAAGTATTTGACCTTCGGGGCCCACGATTTGAGTTGGTCGTACATCATGATTGGGCGAATGGCGGGCAGGAGGTGTTAACGCGTCTAGTCGGGAGTGGAATGCTCAAAGTAGTATTCGGAGGGCGACCCCTTTTGAAGAGCACCGCTGTGCTTTTCGTGAAGTTAATGTCAACGTCGCGTGCGAACGTGCTCATCGACCGTTCGATCGCCCGACCTCGGTTCAGGGCACATCTAGCGGCCAAGTGTTTTCTTGGCTACTTGTGCTAATTGCGCCGCACCACCATCTGTGAGCGGGCAGACCTCTAAATTCCAGGAATTCGTTCGTCAACTTAGTTGCCCGTTTGCAAGCGAACGGCTGTGTGCCGCAATTAATTGCGATTATCATAACCTTGGGGCCCATAAGGCGAGTGTGATTAAAGCCCCTGGGCACACGTCTATGATAATTGAGTCCACGGTCGACCTGTTCGCGGAATTCCTTCGCCTGAGGTATCCAACACTATCGGTAGAATTTTTAGAATTCAAGATTCATCAGGTCGCGAACTCGCCCTCAGTTTCCGTCGCACCCGTCGCTTTTGCGTCGTCCATCACGGCCTCCGTCGCGCCCGCGTCGTACACCGCGGCCTCCGTCGCAACCGCCGCTCCCATGTCCCCGATACTCGCACCCAAAACTTCCGCGTCAACTGTTGCAGCTTCCGCCCCAACCCTGCGTTCGTCCGTGGCCTACGTCACATCCGTGCGTTCGTCAGCGGCCTCCGTCGTGCCAGCATCGTTCACTGCACCCGCGCGATCTTTCCAGGCCTCTGTCGCGCCCACTACCTCCACGTTTGCTAAAACACCCGGTTGCAGGTCGCACGTGCCCTCCTCCTAATCTGACTCGGAGTTGGACTTGGACGTCGACCCTTCCCCCGCCACCCCAACTGATGGATTTACAGTAGTCCAAAAAAGTAAGAAGTGCGCCGCAGAGCTTTAGCGGCCGCTAAAGTAAGCAAAGCCGCGAACGCGTCGCGTCCCCAGCCTCCAATCGCTGTCGCTCCCCCGGTCCGTGCCACCACGTTCAAAACCTAGAACCCTTCCACTTCCTTCCTAATGACGTGCAACCGAGTTTCCGCTGGACCTTAAGGCCAAAAAAATCAATTTCACCAGCACCCGCAATTTCGCGAACGGCATTCAAATAAAAGTGCAATCACCCAACGACTATAGGGGACTATTTCTTCTTACCTAGAAACCCCCCACCAAAAACGCACTCCGAGCCAGTGCCATAACAGCCAATTGTACGGGCACTCTTCCCGTAAGTGTCACGCGCGCCCCCGATGCTTCAAGTGTTTGGGCGATCACCCCACGGCCCTATGCACTTGCGATCAAAAAACGGCGATGGAACCGCGTAGCTGCGTCCTGTGCCGCACACAAGGTCATCCCGCGAATTATCGTGGATGCCTCTGAGCCTCCAAAATTAAACGCCGCCTTGATCGTCCAAGCCGCCTCCACACTTGCGGCCCTGACATCAAAGTTTCGGTACCCGCTGTGCCGAAGGCTAAGCCTGCCTTCGGTGCCCAGCGTCTCGGCTTGGGCTAAGCCGTTGCCGTACAGGAACACGGCTGCAAATCCCCCCTGCGATTCGTCCCGCCGTTATTTTTGTATTAAAAACTACGAATGTTTTGGTCCTGTTTAGAACTGCAATTAATAGTTATGTTACTTAGGTAGCTAATACAAAAAATTGTGGGGATATGTTCACATTTGTAACCACAGTATCTAATCATAGGGTATATATAAGTTATCACATTACAACATTTTTCAAAAAAGTTAATGTAACTTTGAAAAAAAAAAAGAGCTGGATTTTTTTTATTATTTTTCCATGGGTAGTTAATGACCCGACCATAAACCGGTACAGGCTTATCATTGAATTTTTGGACACGCTGTATATATATTCTGAAGTCAGATATAGTACATAGATTTAGTTTACTTCTTGACGTATTACTATGATCTACAAAACGACCAACATTATCTTGTTTCAGGTCGCAGTGCCCTTTCCTAAGGATAAAACGATAATAATCGTGGAGGCCATGAAAAGCTGTATCGCGAAGACAGGAGCGAATCCGAACTTTATAGATGTGATCAGAAGCGGCAAGGTATCTGAAGATGAAAAATTCAAAGAATTCTATTACTGCACTTGCAATGATACAGGGTTTGTAAATCCTGACGGACACATAAANAGTCTGAATATAGCCGCAGGTGAACTTTCCGAACCGTACCGAGAATTACCGAATTTATACGATGTCAAGAAAAGGGATGTCTAATATGCGTGTTTGTGTTGTTGTTTAATCGATTTTTTTTCAAATTGATTAAAATTTAAATAAAAAAAAAGAAATAAATTTAATAAAAATAAAGTATAACTTCTTACGCGCGTACGTAAGTACACACATCCTTTTTTTATTTGGCTTTTGCGAGTCGTATATATAATTAAAAATACGTTTACGGCTTACGTTGTCGTCCGTGGCCACGAAAGCTGTAAAGAATTCGAATTGTCGGAAACAATATCATGATAATAAAAAATGCGACATATGTAAATCCGTAAAAAGAGCTTTAATTCTAGGTTATTGGATTTTTATTTAAGCGCAAGTTTGTATCCAATTGCAGAGTAAAAACCCATTTGTGCATTTATTTATTCTGCTTGCATTTTTCCATGCTCACATAGATACTATACGACACTTCTACACACTAAGATTTTTTATTGTAAATATAAGTTATTGCCACGCCAATGTCAAGCCGTTTGATTAAGTAGTCGACGTTAAATAAACTGTTAATTGTACTAGAGATAGACCACCCGAATTGCAAGAAAACTGAAGGGTTTAAGTTGGCCATTACCGAAACAGCAGCCGGGCTTATTGAGTCGAAGTATACTGGGATTGAGCCGCTGACGATGACATCGAAAATGAGGACGAAAAAACAAGATAATTCCTCTTCCTGCTCGTATAACATAGACTGGAATAAGCTATAAAAGCTATTTTCCCATAGTGGTGCGCACATGAGAGCTGACGTCATATGGGCGTGTTTTTACCCATGCTGGTACACTTTCCATGTGATTTGTGTCATCATCATCATCATTCTTTCCTATTACCCTCTGCTGGGGTGTAGGGCTCGAATCAAATTTTTCCATTTATATCGGTCTTGGGCAGTCTGTTTCCAGGTCAGTGCTCTCTTTGATAGGTGATTTGTGTGATGATTTTAAATTTCGTTAGCGCGGCTTTAGTTTTGACCATTAAAACCGTATTCTGGATTCTAACTTCCGTCTAATTTTATATATTTATTCCTACCTATTCTAGTGACCTGGAGTGGTCATACTAGATTCACCGAGCGAGTTGTGAGCTCACGGGTTCAACCTGAGTGAATGTGCTAGCACTGGCCCTAACAAGAGCAGTGCTTCGCAGAATCTACCACTGGATTGGGGTCGCGACCGACTGAGAAGATCCAGCGAGAAACTCGGTAGGCTAGAAATACATAGAGAATAAACATTACCGTAGAAAATTAAGACCTTTTAAAATAATAAAATTTGTTCACTTTTCGGCGTTTTTTAGACACCCACCAAACTGATAGGCAGATCAGCCTATTGATAACACAAGTTCAATAGATAGATATTGCCATGGCAATGTTAATGTCCTGACCGGTTTGGAGACACCGCGTTTATCCGTCGAGTACTCGTTAATGAGTCTGCAGCTAACAATGCGACGCCTAGACACAATACAGACTTTTGTGATGAAAACACAAAAACGCTCCAAAAATTTCCGTAAGATTGTTAAGAAAAATTTCGAGGTTTTCGAGATTTTAAAAAACGTTATTTCTTATTTTTACGACGGTCCCTGTTTTCTTATTATTATTTTTTCAAGGAAGTATCTTTTGTCTTTCATCATAAAAATAAATTGGTTGTCTGTAAAGTCGGTTTAAGGACGATAGTTTTACGTGATAACGTCATAAAGAAACGTTGATGAAAAATTGCACATTTTTATGAATTGAATTGAATTATTATCACTGATCACTGAATTATCTTTATTTTTATCGATAAATTAACGCTTGGGCCGATTTCGCCTCTCAATCGCTTGTTCCGCGCTCTCGCTTGCACGCTCAGGCTCAAGCGGAACGTGACAATTTTTCGTGCGTGTAGCCGGTGTTCATCGATTTATAACGATGATCGATTATCACGTCAAAAAACCTTAAGGTTTCACGAATTGCAGATTAGTATAATTATTTCAATCTTAAATAAGCGCAGGTTTCGCTGATGTATGATTCTAACTGTGGACTAAATAAGTTTCTTTCACTGTACCAAGCCATAGAGGACGCACGTGAATAGTTACAAGGAATCGATATTTTTCATACGATCGGTGATAGTTAGACCGAAGCAGAAGCATGACCGAATTCCACTGATTCATAATGACATACTAACTCGAGATAACACTTTTTGACATAAAACTCGGTTTATTCATTGTAAAAAATGCAGGTAATAAATATCTTCAACTGAATCCTTAATTATTGAATGCCAGTTAACGGCGGTTTTGCCAGCTGAGCTTTGATTTGACTTTAATCTGAACGCTTACAAACATCACGGCATTACCTCGAAATCGGTCCATTAGTAATCTATAATTAGCATACATACAACGTCTTTTGATATTAATATGTCGGAGATGGTCATTAGTTTGGTAGCTAAACGAAACGCAGCACGATTCCCGAGAGATGGCAGCACGGTGCGTCGGAACTCGGCGAACTTCGTGCTACGACAGAGCCTAGCCGGTGGAGGCGCGTAGACGCCATCACACTTACCAGCCTTCTTGAAGAGCGCTGCCTGCGTCCTAAGAACTGTCATTCGTTTTCATTTGCTAACGTCAGGGGAAAATCTCTAAATTGTTCTAAGGCAACAAACATGATTGGTGTACTCAATATTTCTCTTAGCTCGATAACCCTATTCGCCTCTACGATGTCTGATGATGGTGTTAATAATTGTGGCTTCTCCAAAAAATAGATATTTAAGATTTTTGTTAGTGAACAAAACCCACAGCTCCACTGTATTGAGCGAAACTGCGACTCAATGCCAGCGAAGTGTTTGTCGCCGCCGACCTTGAGACATGAGGTCGAAGCCTTAATTGCATTGAAATAACGACCGTCTACAATTAGTGGAGTAATAAACATAGGAAAATTAATGAATGTATTACGAACGGATCTTGGTGAAGATGCAAGACGAGGCCAGGACATATACCCCCTTTTGATTCATAAACGAATAGCGATATAAACTATATAACCTATATCTTTCGGCCCTTTTTTTACTTATTGCTTAGTTGGATGGACGAGCTCACGGCCTACCTGGTGTTCAGTGGTTACCGGAGCTCATAGACATCTACTAGATCCAATAAGCTTTGCATTAGACGCCTTCAGCTCCAACACTTGGAGCAAGCCTAGGGACCCCGATAACCGTACTCGTCGCACCCGACAAAGAGTTCGATGTGCAACGTAACCCATGCATCAGCCCGCTGAGTTTCTCGCCGGATCTTCTCAGCCGGTCGCGATTCCGATCCGGTAGTAGATTCATTCGCGAAGCAGCTGATCTTGAGTTTTTAGGTCTCCTTCGGAGGCGCTCGGGGAGCTGTTAGCAAATCCCACCCCTCCTGGCTGAGCTTTTGCTCGCCTACCTGTCCTGGTGAAACTGGAAAGGTCTCCGGGCCACCAGTAATTCTTCAATCCTAAAAAAAAAAGACATCTACAACGTTAATGATGCCACCTACCTTGAGATATAAGTTCTAAGGTCTCGGTATAATTACAACGACTGCCCCACCCTTCAAACCGAAATGCATTACTGCTTCACGACAGAAATAAGCAGGGTGTTAGTACCTACACGTCCGGACTTATAAGAGGACCTCCTACCACCAATAAGAAATTCCGAAATCCGAAGAAGAAACTAATTCCGATGGTCTACTCCATATTTGTATTAGACACACTACATGAATTTACTAATTACTAATTATTATAAGTTAACAACCGTCAAATATGGTTCCTTACATCGGATTCTAATTTATGACGTACACTTTATTCCGAGATTTATACACACGAAAGGCGAACTAAGCATTTTTAAAATATAAACTTTTATTGTGTAACATAATCTTGGATGTATAGCTTTTTACTTTCGAATGAAAATTTTATGTCGACGCTAACCAAAAACAGTCTTATCTCTGTGCATTAAGAATTAATTTTAGATTATTCTAAATTTGAATTACCACGTTCAGCTTTGCTGTGAAAAGTTTGGAGAGCTGCATGCGGGAGTGAAGCAGCCGGATATTGTCTACGGAGATTGTTTTAGATAGCACTTGTTCTCAGCACCTCTTAGTGTTTTTATTTTATTTTTTAAGTCAAACGTGATGGAACATTTTTCTTCTTGATTCACTTCTACATTAAGACTTTCAGATGAATTTCCTCAAGTTTGTTTTTAATCAGTCAAGTACGAATGCGTTTATTCAAATAACAATATTTATTTTTTTCGTTCCAAATATTTATATTTATCTTCTACCTAACTGGTGTATCCACAAGGTGTATAATATAGAGATCCGCCTATACCGGAGTAGCAGGTTTTCTTAGGAACAATGTACTTAACGTGGTTTCTCGACCGACTCCTAAAATAGAGGGAACAGGTGTAGTTAAGCTCGCAAATAAAATATTTGGCGTGATTACTGGAAGTAGAGCATATTGTAAGCCCGCGATGGTAGATTTTCGCACTACTATTACTATTTATTCCATGAAGTTGTCGTGGTCTAAGGGGGACTGCCGTAACAAAACACTATTAATTTTTCGACTTCAGGTTTCGAGAGGGATGTCGAACGGTTTCGGTAACTACTTAATACTACTTGGGTTCGTTCACAAAGTGTTTTTTTTTTATTTATTTTTTTTATTGCTTTTGTAGGTAGACGAGCATACGGCCCACCTGATGGTGAGTGGTTACCATCGCCCATGGACGTCAGCAATGCCAAGGGCAGAGCCAAGCCGCTGCCTACCGTTTAATACTCTCCACAAGCCTCGTTTGAAGAAGGACATGTCATAGCGCTCGGGAAACACCGTGGAGGGGAGCTCATTCCATAGCCGGAGTAAGTAATAAAAGAAATAAGGAACATAAATACATCATCGCTTTCGATCTCTACGCATCACATGTCCATACCACGCTAACCATCCACTCTTTAATTTATTAATGACTGGGGTTAAAGTCATTTTCATTTGTAATTTTTATTTCTATTAATCGTAATATGCATCCATGGTAAGATACATGCCAGCGCTGTGGTAATTTTTCAATGCTCTTTTCGAAGGAATCGAGTGTACGGGAGCCAACAAGCTCTGCAAAGGCATTTTGTATTGCCTCTCGGGTATTGAATATTTTTACTCTTTTTTTTATTGCTTAGATGAGCGGACGAGCTCACAGCCCACCTGGTATTAAGTGGTCACTGGAACCCATAGACATCTACAACGTAAACGCGCTGCCCCACCCTTCAAATCGAAACGCATTACTGCTTCACGGCAGAAATAGGCGGGGTGGTGGTACCTACCCGTGCGGACTCTCAAGAGGTCCTACCACCAGTAAGCCTCGT